CCCCCCCCCCCATCCCCACAGGCCGGTGAGGACGACAGTTTGCTGACGACCAACAAGGATCTAGCTGGGAAGGTCAGTTGTGTCCCTGTCCTCTCATCTAGTTCTAATGTCCCTATAATCTGTAAGGAAGTGGTTAACTGTTTGTTTCCGTCTGTTTCCGCAGGTTGGGTTAAACGTCATGCAGATTTGCTTGCCGACGGACTGCATGGAAGATGAGGTAAAGAGTGCAGGCAGGAAACGTGTTCTAGATAACTTTTTGCTTTTTTCTTATACAATTATTCTTTCTGCACTTGAAATGGCCACACCCCCGCCCTCCTCCCCTTCCCTCCTGGCAAACCGGCTGTAGCTCTTGGGCTTCACCTAACCTCCGGCCGGGGACAGTGACCCTTGTCAGACCCCCCAAGTCAGAGGCCTACAGAGGCTGCTCTCCAGCTTCCAGCAGGGCCGGCTCTGGGTGTCTGGAGCCCCCCCGACAACAGCAGAGAACAAAATTAAAATGAAATTTAATTCATAATATTAAAACATTTCAGTGGAATAGGGTAACTGGCCGCTAACTAGCTAGCTCGCATCTGTTTCACAAGAAACATAGTCAAATATTACAACTGGTGGAAATGTCCAGGAATGCAACCAGAGGTATTTCTTATGGTTTTTGTCACATGCTCTTTTGCGCTGGCTTCTGGTCAGACTCTGACCCCCCGCAGTCCTGCATAGGACAAACGAGTTTAGAGAGTGGATGGATTATTTGGTGCCGAAAAATGATTGTATACAACATTCCTTAGAGAAAGTCTGATGTGATTTGTTTCAGCTTATTCAAATTTTATGATTGGTTGTTATTTAAAATGTGAAAATATTCAGTTTGCTGATTGATTGTCCAGTATGTATAAACTCTGTATAGTCTGTAAAGTCTGTATAGTATTGAAAATAAATTTACTGTGAGAAGCATTTATCTGTAAGTGAAGGAGAAAGCTTTTTTCCATGTTTAATTATAGTAGATTAATTATACCCAGAGTCTGTGTGTGGAACCTTCTACATTGCTGGGTCACCCACGTGTGTAGATCATGGAGGAGATCCAGAGGCTCAATGAGGATCCTAAAGTGCATGGTGTGATCCTGCATCTTCCGCACGCATCCCTCACCAGTTGTGTGCTCAACGCCATCGCCCCAGACAAGGACGTGGAAGGGTATGTGTCTAAGTGGGGACTAATTATGGAACCTCTTAGACTGGACGCTGATTGGCTGTCCCTCCTCGATAGTTAGTTCTGTAGGTAGAGCTGCACAGGGCCTCTTGCTATTGGTTTTCGGTGTAGGATAGCATTGGTTTGAGCCTTCACTTAACGTTTCTGAGCTTTGGTGGTTGATAATGAAGGTTAACCACCCCCCTCATATTCCAGGGTGACGGACCTCAACTTGGGAAGACTTGTGCGGGGCGATCTCAAAGACAGCTTTGTCCCTCCATTTGCCAGCGCAGTGATGGAGCTCTTAGAACGACTTGGTGTGTTTGTGTAATGAGGGGTGCCCACAAAGTTCACTGCATGACCATGTGATGCCTGGGTCACACTGTACTTGAGGGGATATGAATAATGTAGCAGTGCATGCTTACTTAATGCATTAATTAACCAGTAACTAAGTGATTATTTACTGATCCTATGTTCATTCATCAATCAATCATGACACTTGTATTCCATTCAGGCACTATACTACTTAACAGCTCGCTAATTAGTTCATTATGGTAAGACGTCACTTGAGGGGGCAAAACTACTTAACTCATTTACTACTCAAGAACAAATCATGAACTAATATAGGTTTCCCCATGAAATACATGAACTGTCATGCATGAGTAATGATGAATGAACATGGGATCAGTACTTAAACACTTAGTTACTAGTTAATTAATGTATTACGTAAGCATATACTACTACATTATTCATGTCCCCTCAAATACAGTGTTACTGGTGCCTGTCATTTCCTAAAAATCCTTTAGTGTCTTTAGTGTTTAAGTCCTGTAGTCAATCTGGATGCATTTTACCACAAACAAATGATAAAGTAACAGACATTTAACCTGGGTTCCGCTAACTGCAGTGAAAGGCATAACTTTGGTGTTTCTGATCATCTTCTAACAGGTCTGTGTGCGCCAGGGAAGAGTGTGGTGATTGTGGGTGAGAATGGACCCCTTGAGGTGGCCATGCAGTGCCTGATACAACAGCGAGGGATGCTGGCTCTCAGCAGTGTGTGGAACGCCGATGACCTGCAAAAACAGGTTATTTTATGGATCTATAGCGCAGGACAAACAATATCACAGCTTCTGCTATGTATAGTTATTGAAGTTAAGTCATGCCAGTTCCTTCTCATTGTAGTATGACTTTGATGCAATGATTATATTAACCACAAGGTGGCAGTAAAGAATTACAGTTACAGAACGGCTGTAGTTCTAGAATGGGAACAATAATAACAATGATCCAGTTAGGGTGTCTGATTCAGAATCAGTTCGATAACTAAACCAGTTGCCATCCTGCAGGTTTCGCAGGCAGATGTTGTCGTACTGACCAGCACAGGACCTGCAGAGTTTTTGGCCAGCTGGCTGCGACCAGGGACTTCTGTTATCAACTGTCGTCATGCCAATTTCTCAGGTAACCCATGGTAACCCAAAGTATCACATGAACCAATTGAATGTCCAGTGGGAAGCGGGTTATACAGGTTCACAGCCTATACAGTAGCTGCCCACATGTGGGCTTCAAACCTCATTTGTTTAGCTGACAGTTATTGGTTTGATTGTATAAAATCATAGAGGAACCCAGGCTCTGGATTGATCTCTGACTCCTTCTGTCTCCATGTGTTCACAGAGCACCAGGATGCCCCCGTTCACATGCTGAGGGTGGAGCCTCTGGCTGCAGCTCTCAGGATGCAGGTAGAATATAGATCGTCATGTAGTTTATTTTTAATTTTTTTCTTTAGATCAGCATAAATTCTGCTTTTGCAGCTGTAGTTTTTCAGCATCTGGGTGCTGAATGGATCTTTGTGGTTCTGTACTTACTGACGCAGCCACTGCTCCGCTGGTGACCCCAAAGACTTCTTCTGATCTCAGAGACTTCAACCCTGAGGAAGATGTACTGCACTCAGAAATCTTAATGGCACATTTTATGGCATATTGGCATTCCTACTGCGAGTATATCAAACAGAGTGCTATATAATACAAGAAAATATGCATATAATGTGCTGTGTGTTTATGGCCCCTATAATTTCAGTTCTGTGTGACAAGTCTTGAAAAGTATCCTGTAGAATTTGTGCATGTGGCAGCTTGGATTCTGGGAGTTCTCCACATGGATCTGTAAAACACTGTGCTGAATGCAGCATGTCTTAGCAAACAATCCCCCCCCAACCCAATCTGTGCAGAATGTGGTAGAGAGCAGCCGCAGGTGGATGGAGAAGCAGCAGTACCAGCCGTGGAGACTGAGAAGCCTGAAGCTGCAGCCATTGTGCCCTGTGCCCAGGTAGGCCGGGCTCTTGCCTGGGCGTGCCCTCCGCTGGGCCCTGTGCCCAGGTAGGCCGGGCTCTTGCCTGGGCGTGCCCTCCGCTGGGCCCTGTGCCCAGGCAGGCCGGGCTCTTGCCTGGGCGTGCCCTCAGCTGTGCCCTGTGCCCAGGCAGGCCGGGCTCTTGCCTGGGCGTGCCCTCCGCTGGGCCCTGTGCCCAGGGAGGCTGGGCTCTTGCCTGGGCGTGCCCTCAGCTGTGCCCTGTGTCCAGGTAGGCCGGGCTCTTGCCTGGACGTGCCCTCCGCTGGGCCCTGTGCCCAGGCAGGCCGGGGTCTTGCCTGGACGTGCCCTCAGCTGTGCTCTCCACCTTCTGCTTCTTGGTCTCACAGAAACTCTGACCAAAAATAGACCAAGCAGCTAAACTCAGGGTAAAGGCAGGGCTGCCAACTTTGGTCAGCTGGCTGGAGTGAGAGTTTCAATTCGATTCCAGTCTGCACACACATGCACACGCGTTTACATGTATGTAACAGTTTTAGTACCGTGCAAATAGTCTGTATGGTTTGCAAAGCAATGCTTTTGATGTAGCTAATTTTAGGTTTATAATGGAATAATCTAGATTTGCCCTAAGATTGCTTGCATGAGCGTGAGAGTCTGAAAGAGTGAGTGTCACGCCAGATGCGGTAGAGGTGGCAACCTTGTCCAGGCGAACATCATGTACAAGGCCAGCTTCATGAAAGGATACATTCAGATGTAGGTGCACCTCCTGACCAGCTGGGGTCTCTCTTCATAATATGTGCAAACCCCGGATATGATTCACAGTGACATCGAGATCTCCCGGAGCCAGACGCCGAAGGCCATCGAGCTGCTGGCCAAGGAGATAGGCCTACTGCCAGAGGAGATCGAGGCCTACGGCAGAACCAAGGCCAAGGTGCGGCTGTCCCTGCTGGAGAGGCTGAAAGAGCAGCAGGACGGGAAATACGTCCTAGTAGCTGGGTGAGGGACGCCTCTGCCCTTCTATCGTTTAGGGCCATGTTTCCTGAAAAGTGTTTTTTTTTCGAAGCTGGTTTAGGTGCATAAATGCACAAGCCTGGAGTCATCCTGGACTCAGCAGGAGTCACAGAGGCCCATTTTCCCCCAGCGTAGCTCGGCTGTAGTGCCTGGGGGCTCCATGGTGGTGAGGGCGGCGTGGGTGGAGCTGGGAATCTGCAGGTTTTTTTTTTACCAAATTCCGATGTGAGTAGTATCACCCCCACCAACCAAAACCATGCAGCAGCCTTATCTTATATGGCTGGGACAACCTTCTGATGCTTGTTTTTTTATCTCTGTGGGAACAGCACAAGACCACTCCCCCCAGACTGCTGTGTCGCCCCCCCCCCCATACTCCTCCCCACACCCTGTCACCCATGAGCTGTTATGTCTTATTCTCCTCTTTCCAGTGATCTGTGGGAGAAACCCAGCATGAAGTCAAATTAGGCCTGGCAGTGCTCTCATCATGTAGACAGACGGGCATTTCTGTACCATCTGTAGCTCTCGTGTAGCTAATGTTAGCTCTAACAGGTTAGCCATGTTAGCCAGCCATGCGGTTGCCTTCCAAAGGGTTAGTCCACATGTGACCAGCTCCCTTGTGCTTTCAGTTGGTTCTTGCTAGCCTATTGCTAAACAGCTAACTCCTGGATAGCTAGCTTTCATGTGGCTAGCTCACACGTTGCCAGCTCTCTTACAGTTTTGTCCTGCATGGTGTCAGGGCTAACTGCTAGCTGCCACCTGTTTACCGCTAATCTGGTTAGTGCTAATTTGTGCCTGGAGCAGGGTCACCATATTTGGTGAGATGAAAAAGAGGATGTGTCCAAGGATCAGAATAGCTTGCATGTTCACCAGCCAATCAGGTAGCGCTTCCCTCATGAATATTAATGAGATTTCCCTAACCCACCCTGAAAATTCGCGTCTGTGCTGGTTAGCCTAGCACAGAGATGCCCGTAATAAGTGCGTTATGGCCTCAGTTGACCCTAGCGGTCTCACAGCTAGCTTTGAACCTCCCTGCTTTCACCGCTCCTGCTCTGGTTGGCCAGACTTTAAGGAGCATTGGCTCATTTAAGGAGCATTGGCAAATTCTGATGTGTCACATGAGCTGGTCCTGTGTTCACCAGGAGCACTGCATACACCGATTAAATCACATGTGTTTTTCAGTCCGATGATACAGATTACAGCGTGGGAAAAGCAGGCGATTTGGGGCCCTGGAAGCGCTAAGCCCTTCAGTCATGTGGCTCTCCGGAGGCAGGGCACCATTTAGCTGTGCAGTCGTGGAAGATTAACAGTCAGAAAGTTCTCGCCGCCCCTGTTGCATGCGGGGATTTGCATCATGTGACATTTCGCTTATTAATATCATTAGCAAAATATAGATGTTTTTGATGCAATCTGCGTGGATTGTGTGGCTGTGCAGGTCAGGATCCCATGCCTATGTTCTAGTCCTGTGGTAATCAGAGTAATCATACAACATTTGGCCCTTTGAGCAAAGCCCTTAACCCTACCTGCTCTAAGGGCGTCAGGTGACCCTGCCCTTTGACGCCATGCTTTTTATGCTGAGTCTCACATAATGGGACAGACGAATAAAGAATTTCATTGTACTTGCCACATGTTCAGTGACAATAAGGACATTTTACCTTGCTGTTGCTGGTTCCTTGACCACAGTTTACTGCAGTTCTGTTGAGGGGATAAGAACCAAGGTCCATGATATGCTACTTGTTAGTCCATCATATCCTTTGGATTGGGTGGTTCTTGTATATCGGGATAAAGACGTCTCTTCATGTTGTATTGCTGCGGTGTCGGTCCGTCGGGGGAAGACGTGAGTGCTGTGATTAAAGCGTTTGTGTGTGTTTGTTGCAGCATCACCCCCACCCCGCTGGGTGAGGGCAAGAGCACGGTGACTATCGGCCTGGTGCAGGCGCTCACGGCCCACCTGAAGGTCAACTCCTTCGCCTGTCTCCGGCAGCCATCGCAGGGACCCACCTTCGGGGTGAAAGGTCAGTAGTGTGGGGGTGGCGGGGGCTGGGGTGCTGGGAGTGGCCTTGAGGTTTACGGCACGCCTGCCCCCACACACATCTCTAAGGTCACCGTCATTTTCTGCTTCCTCTTTTTGTAGGCGGAGCTGCAGGAGGAGGGTACGCCCAGGTCATTCCCATGGAGGAGGTATGTGGAGTCTAACAGGATTGGCAGCTCTACACTAGCAGCAGCAGGTCTGAAGCTTCAGGCTTTGAAGCTGAGAGTGGGCGGGATTACCTAGCTCCATCCCACTTCCTGTGACATCATCACTCTCCATTGGTCACTTTAGAAGTCTTGTTTGCCCCATAGCTACATTTTTCCCCATAGAGCTCCACGTCAATCACCATGTTTTTAGCGTATCTGTACTGAAGATGTTACTTGGCACATGTTAATATTAGGGCCACTGTTACGCCATTTGTAGCTTTTCGCCACACTGAATGCTGCCCTTCCCCCCCAGTTCAACCTCCACCTGACAGGAGACATCCACGCCATCACTGCTGCTAACAACCTGGTCGCTGCAGCTGTCGACGCTCGCATCTTACATGAGGCCACCCAATCAGACAAGGTAGGGTGTCCGGCAGGGCGTGGCCTGTTAGTGCTTTGCTCCGCCCCTTTAATGTTCTTTGTAACTTTTTTTACCTGCCACATATTCTCCTGATGGAGGTCCACTCTAACACAAAGCTGTAAATTATGCTGTCTTTTTGTTTATTATTGTTTATTTGTAATGTTTCCTATTCATCATCACAGGTTAATTGCTTAAGTGTCCATTTATTTATGGCATCGTAACACATTTGGGTTTGTTTACAATAGTTTTATATACGCAACCTTTATAAGAGGAGATGTCTCTCCAAGCCTGTGGAAATCCTTCAGAGGGGATTTCTGCTCTACCAAGTTATAGCCCTTAGCAATATTTTGATTTTGACTGTGCATCTCTCTGAGAAATTTTATTTAGACCAACAGAGAGATAAATATCAGGCCATTGTGGGAAGCCGGCGATTTAATCCTCCTGTTTTCCTCTTCGGCATGCTCATCAGGCATTGTACAGCAGACTGGTGCCCTCTGTTAATGGACTGAGGAAGTTCTCGCCCATACAGATAGCCAGATTACGGGTAAGTGTGGACCGTTCGGGTCATATTGCCTGATTATGTTTGTGACTGCACTTATTAATACCTCCACTAGAGGGCGTGACTGAGCTGGAAATCAAATATTACTTGAAATACCTTTCTAAATGAATTTACCCATAACTGAATGGGAAGAGGGGAGCGTTCACAATTACAACTGCAAACAGCTGGAATTGCAAAGGTCAACGTGTCTCATTGTGGACAATAAAAACAATAGAAGATAAGACTGAGGTTCATCCTCAAATTGTAAACAAAGGGATGTTCTGTTTGTCTTGGGTCTGAACTTCAGGAGTGTTGGGATGTGAGACACTTATGTACTTGGATGATGTGTGAGGGGCTTTGTAGGACCGAGGAGTTGCCGGGGGGGGGGGGGGGAGAGCAAGGGCCAAGTCTGCAAGGATGAGGAGAAGCAGGGAGGATATACTCAGTGATGAGGGTTAATGGATGAGTGCCGTTGGATTCAGTGTGTGCTTGTGTGGGGGCTGTCTGTCTGTTTCTGCATTACGGAAGCAGGAAAATGCCATACCCCAGTGTCTAGTTTCACCATACTGACAATTTCAATAAAAGCTCTCAATGTGTAATCAAGAAAACCACGCTATGACATTTTTATGCATGTAAATTCATCTCAAAACAGAAGGCTGTGTTGGCGAGAGGGAAAACAGGAAGTCAGAGGGTTTTTTTTTTTTTGCTCTCGCTCCTCATGATCAGTTTGGAGTCATTAGTTATCTTTTGTCCCGCTGCAGATTGCTGGCTGTGAATGTCCATAGCCAGTATATTGTTTATGTAACGGGTCTTTGGCCAGTCTGGGGATCTGGGAGTGACTGGACCTGAGCAGCTGCTGTTTCTCTCAGCTGAGGGCTTGTCTGAAGCAGACCACTGCTCTCCTGCATTTCTGTAAAAGGCCATGTGTGGTAACCCTAAAATACTGGCTGCATTCGCAAATCTCCCGCAAGGCCTTCCTGCCCTAACCAGAGCTGGGAATACTACGCGTCAGACAGTGTAGTTATTAAGGATGTGGCCTAGTAACCTTTAGGTTGTGGGGTCAAGTCCCAGTGCAGTCATAACATGCATTTTTATAGTAAAATAGTGGGGTTCATGGAACCGTTTGGAAAAATAGACTTGGAAGGGATAAACTTTTAATGAAGGCCTGAATATGCTTTTCGATCCTGCTATTTTTTTTTTGGTTTTCCCGATTTAAAACAGAACAACGATTCAGGTAGTTCCAGCCCCCTCTACAGGTTATGCAGGAGGACGTGCACTGTGTCACTGTCCTGTCCCTCCTCTCCACAGCGCCTCGGCATCGAGAAGAGCGACCCAGGCACGCTCACAGCGGAGGAGATCCGCTCGTTTGTGCGGCTGGACCTTGACCCCGCCAAGGTCACCTGGCAGAGAGGTAGGGCGCCCCCTGCTGCTTCCCTGTTGGGCGTAAGGCCGCCCTCTTCAAATTCGGGATGGGCGAGATGTAAAGACGGATGATGCGTCAGGGCCTTGGAGTCATGGACAGTTTAAAAACTCCTGGAAAATGTATATAAGTCTTGGGAGGGGCTAAAAAATGAAGACCTCCGTCGAGGGTTTATTTTAGATTTTTATCGCCTCGTGTTTCTCCCCGTCCGCCCGTAGCCGTGGGATTTACGATGTCGCCCCGACGTTTGTTTAACGCTATTTGCCTTTGCGGCGCGAATCGATTCTCCTTGCTGTCAGCCGCTCTCCCAAACGATGTAATCCACCCCGGCGGGGTCACGGGCCGGCCGCAGTCCAGTTGGACTCGATCAGCGTGCGGAGATGTGGGGAGTCGCGGCCCTCGAACCTACGCTGGAGGCTCACTGGGGGCTTTCCGTCTCCTTTGCAGTCATTGACACCAACGACCGTTTTCTGAGGAAGATCACCGTCGGACAAGCGGGTACCGAAAAAGGGATGACGCGGCAGGTATGTGCTATTCCTGAATTCCAGCAGGTGGAGGCGCTCTTGCAGTATGATTACTGTTGTTTTTTCTTTCATTAATAGCTTCATTTGATTGCCTTATACTTTGATCCATCCATCCATCCATAACTGCTTATCCAGTACAGGATCCTAATGATCTCAGTGTATTTTCTTTGTTGCACATTGTGAGTAATTTGGAGATTCCATTAGTTCTGCCTATATTGCTTCTTAGATGGGGAGCTAGGACCATTATGGGATGTCAGTGTCTGATGCACAAGTGCGAGTAGCCTGCAGCTCTGTCAGAAAAAAAAGTACCAGTTTGTAAATTTGGGGGGACAGTTACTTGTCACTGGGTCTATATCCTCAAGGGTCTGCCAGTTGTACCCTAGTTCTGTGTACTTGTACCTTTTAAGATACAGAAAAGGACATTAATGCTGTCCTAGGGCGGCGCCCTTTGTTCTGACAGTGCAGAAGACAACAGCAGGCGCTTCAGCGTCCACACTGGTTTACACACTCTTTCCCAGCATGCCTTTCAGCACTGCCAGCCAACGCTGCTCCGTGAAGTTTGAGGCTCCCTGTAGAAGCATTCCTGACCACCCCCCCATTGCACGGCTAATGTTCTAGAAGCATGTGGCTGCACTGGGGAGTTATAAGTGTTACACCCCCCAAAATAAGGGTGCATCCGGCGCTAAATATCTACTTTGTTCTGATTCGAATTCTTCTTCTCTAAGGTCGAACATCTCATCTGATGTTTTTTTAACTCAAATTCACGTCACTCCTTGCGGGACACTTACTGAAATTTACGATTTAATATTTTTGAGGTGTGTTTGGTGAGTGACTCCCCCCTGCAATCTAACACCCCCCTCGAGACACACATTTAATGTCTGTTGTCTCCTCTGCCGCCTTTGCAGGCCCAGTTCGACATCGCCGTGGCCAGCGAGATCATGGCCATTCTGGCTCTGACGGACGGCCTGCGGGACATGAAGCTCCGGCTGGGCCGCATGGTAGTGGGCAGCAGCCGGACGGGACAGCCGGTCACCGCCGACGATCTGGTACGTCAGAATCGGGACCCGGACGCAGCTGTGGAGCATTCAGAGCCCGAGCTGGCTGGACAGGAAGAGCCCACAAGCTGCTGGAGTCAAACCAGTTTCATTTTCCAGGTTTAAACAGATGTGAATAATTGTCTGCTTACTTTAGGGTGTGACTGGAGCCCTGGCCGTCTTGATGAAAGATGCCATCAAACCTACACTCATGCAGACGCTGGAGGTGAGTCTGAACCAGGAGGAGGGAGCGGGGAGGGTGACAGGCTCTCTGGGGGTGGTCAGGAGAGTCTTGCGGACGTACACTTGTTCTGTGACATCCCTTGTGAGCCCTCAGAAGACAGCCAGCACTGCTTGGACAATCAGGCCGCTATGGAGAAGAACCAGGCTTGTGCGGCTGGCCCTCAACAGAACCTTAGGGGGACGGCTCACTCCATCTGGCTTGTGTTAGGTGGTGATCTGGTCCCTCTTGTTTTTATGTCCTCATGCTTTCGGACGCCAGATATGTCAGCCCAGAGCTCACAAAGCACACAGGATTAAATCCCCTACGCACCACAGTTCAGCTGCTTTGGCTTTCTAGATTTACAGATCTTTCGGGCATTTGGATCTCCATCCAAACTTTTTTTTTTTATTGTCAGATTTTGTTAGTTTTTCTGTTGTGCTTAACTGTGCAGAGACACCTGCTGTTCAGCTTTATATGGTGAAAAAGCTCAGCAGAACTAAGTTCAGGAACCTGGTTCTTGCTTCCAAGTTCTTGATCCGTCTCGACCAGGAACTTTTGTAGCTCCTGGCCACTTGTTGTGTGCTGCTTTCCCACCGCACAACAGGAACTGTGACATTTGTGCTGAATCAGCATGGGAGTCGTAATAAAGCTTCACACGTAATTTCAGAAGCGAGGAAACTACACCCCCCACCCCAAAACAATGGAGGATGAACCAACTGTTTTGTTAATTTCTTAGGTATTGGGGGGAAGTGGGAGGATCGATTGCATGATACAAAAATACGGGACAAATTATATCCTACATTGGTTCAAAACAGGACACGCCAGTTCATTTTACAATATGGGAGGGATGGCATCTCTAGTTAGGAGAGGTCACACAGCACTGGTCACAGCCCAGTTCAGCCCACAATGTGCTTATAAGTGATTTTTAAATCTGGCCAGCAGATCGAACATTTCTTTTCCACAGTATAAAAAAAAGACAAAAATGGTATTCTGCTAATCAGTACCTGCAAGTTTCACCATTGGCACTCCCCCCCCCCCCACTGAATATCAGCAAAAATGTTACACAAAAATATATCAGTTATTGGGGTATTGTTCAACATTTTCATATTGGTGCATCACTATAGGAAACCTTTTCTTACATAGAAATATGGAGACGCAAGGAAAGAAATGTATTAATTAATGCATTAAATGCAATGGGAATACAAAAATAATAATACTCTTTTCTAAGCACTTCTGTGAGTTGGTGCTTGGAGTCAACCAATCAGCAAAGTGAAGGCGGGGTCAGGCTGGGAGCTGGGGTCAGACTGGAGGTGGGGTGAGGGCTGAAGGCATGGTCAGACTGGAGGCGGGGCCAGGCTGGGAGCTGGGGTCAGGGCTGGAGGCGGGGTCAAGCTGGAGGCGGGGTCAGGGCTGGAGGTGGGGTCAAGCTGGAGGCGGGGTCAGGGCTGGAGGCGGGGTCAGGCTGGGAGCTGGGGACAGGTCTGGAGGCGGGGTCAGGGCTGGAGGCGGGGTCAGACTGGGAGCTGGGGACAGGGCTGGAGGCGGGGTCAGACTGGGAGCTGGGGTCAGGGCTGGAGGCGGGGTCAGGGCTGGAGGCGGGGTCAGACTGGGAGCTGGGGTCAGGGCTGGAGGCGGGGTCAGGCTGGGAGCTTGGGTCCAGGCTAGAGGTGGGGGCTGCAGTGAAAAACAGGGGTAAACCAGGCCAGCTGGGTATTAGTCAGCAAGAAACATTTATTTCCCCCTACATGTTTATACAGAGATGGGGGGGGGAGAATAGGACACCTGAAAAGCAAAGGTGCAAAACAGCCGATTTCAACTCAGTAGAAATTTTTCCTACCAGCGCATCCTGTGTTTTGCCTCTCCCAGATCAGCCCCCAGTACCGATGCCCTTAATGGCAATTCCAGTGGATATTAAGTTTTAGTCCCAGAAAAGAAACTAATCAACCTGACTCTGCCAGTCAAGACCTTGGGGCTGGTTCAAATCCCAGAGTCAGCAGAGTGATGTCACCATTGGGCTCTTGAGCCAGACCCTTAAACCCCAATTACTCCAGAGATTGTCTGATCCTCCTTTCTAGAAAATGTATGTCGCTTGGATAAAAGTGTCTACTAAGTAAACAATACTCTGTATAAGTAAAACACTGTTTCCTCTGGGTCCTGGAATGAAAAATGATATACTACTAGGTAATGTTATTAGTAATTAAACTAGTTATGTCATAGTGATACTGAAGATTTTCCTCAGTCAACCATAATGTTTATCATGCCGGCCCTGGGCCTCACCCCAGGAATTCCCATCTGTGCCGCTCACTCGACAGCTTCGGAGGTCCGTAGAAAGTGCCTTGTTAAGTTCTGGCTGGACCGTAGTGAAAACATGTATTTGGAAGCGTGTAAGACCTACAGGAGGGCTCCAATGGATCTTTGGGGGGGGGGGGGGGACACGGATGTCTGACTGTAAGTGTTGTGTAAACAGTGGTGTTGTTCATTTGGCTTTCTTATATACAGATAAGCACCCACCCCCATCCAGAAACCATATCCGAATAATGTGATTCCGGAATCTTGACTGACAGCTTTGCGTTTCGTTTGACTCCTCCCCCAGGGCACACCGGTGTTCGTCCATGCGGGTCCCTTCGCCAACATCGCCCACGGTAACTCCTCCGTCCTGGCGGACAAGCTGGCCCTCAAACTGGTTGGAGAGGGAGGTTTCGTCGGTGAGTTCATTGTCCAGGATACTACCCCCCCATGGAGGGGGGGACATTCTAAGGGCCCTGGCTTTGGGGAAGCTGATTGAGCCTTGCTGGGTGTCAGTTGCATGCGTGAAGCTATCTGCGTACCCCCCACCCATTAAGGAGGTGTGCGTGGGATGGGTACTCTGCTATTGCCACATAGCAATAAGAGTGCAGGGGTCATGCATCGCTAAGAGAATCCCAAGCAGGGAACACCTGTTGTACCACATAGCCAGCAATTAACCACTATGACAAGTCCACACTGGAATTGCAGTGTAAATATTTGGTAATATTGCAAGTAACCTCATTATTACTCACCGTTTTACTTAGCTGATGTTAATTTTGCTTATCTTTGGTTATTTGTTCTTATACCTATAAAATGATACGTCCTCAGCTGTGAGGTTTTGGTGAAGCAACACTTAAAAATGTTGTTTGTAGCACCCCCGTCCCTTTCGAGGCAGTAAGACAGACCGGCACCCTGTCTGTCCCCTTCCCGCCCAAATGGCCCAGGACCCCCCCCCCAGGGCTGGTTCCCGTCAAAGGCTCGTGGTCACAAGCGGAAATGACTCTGCAGCCCGGCGTCTGTTATTTCACGAGGCGTGCTGCCCCATATCACAGCGGAGTACACCGTTTTACACCGTTTTACACCGTTTTACACCGTTTTTCCGCGCCTGTAGGTGCCCGTCGCTCTGGGCTATGGGCTGTAACAACGGCCTCCGCGGTTCTTTTTGACGAGGCTCGGCCTACATTTGACCCAGGAGGCAGCCCTAGGTTGACGGTTCCCCCCCCTGCTGGCGGTTGGCTCTCTGGCTACGCCGCTGGTCATGGGTGGGGGCCCCGCCAAATATAGTACCCTGAAGAATGCGGAGAATGCAGATTCCGTTCCCAGGGCCTTGCAGCCCAGGAAAGGGTACTTGGATACTTTGAGGGGGGGCTGATGGCTGCTAGCTGACCCCTGACCCCGTGCCCCCCCCATCACAGATTTGATAGTGTGGCACTCCATATCTGGCTGGCCCCCATATGAGATTTTGTTCCTTTTCAGAGGGAGTTGGTGTTTATTTTCTGTTTTTTCAAGCCAGATGACAGTTATTACAAGAAAGCCCTGTTTGTGTTTATGATATGTGTGTGTGTGTGTGTATGTGTGTGTGTGTGTGTATGTGTGTGTGTGTGTGTGTTTGTGTGTGTGTGTGTGTGTGTGTGTGTGTTTTTGATGGGACCCCGATTAAATAATTTGAAGTGGTTTAGATGGTTCCTGAAGCCCATCATGTAGTGGGCTGCTTTGCGTTCCGCCATAGCTGATACCCTGGTACCTCAGGCCTGGATGAAGTGTGACTCCAGATGGTAACAGATTCACAGCCGGATCTGTAAGGTGGAATGAAGGTGGTCCTTTTGTGTGGCACCTTGCCAACACCCCCCCCCCCCCCCGCCCAAACCTACCCAGGGAAAACAGGCCAGAATTACAGCTGCTTAGATGGGATCTGAAACTTTGTTATTTTATTTAATTTTTTTTACATCCTGCTTGGTTTGTAACATGCAACTCTACCGAAAAGATGCTTTTGCTTGTTTATTTAAGAGATGCAAGAGAGTGGTTTTAGAGTAAAACAGCAATTACTACCAAACAGGATATTTAGACAGCTGGTAAATCCTGTGAAAACAGCTATTAGAGGGTAGGCGTTTGAAGGCTGAAAGGCGTTAGCGTAGCACCGGGTAATGAAAACATGGGCCTTTGTTTACATACGGGGTCTGTCATCTGCCTATATACTGCTCAGGTCGGTTAAGGTAGCAGGGTGGCGGGACGGGGGGGTCGCTTGTTTGTATTGGACATCCAGCGTGAGTGGCGGCTACCAGCCGGGGGGGACAGTTGGGGATGGCTCGGATGGCCAGAGCACGTTTGTCATTCCGGGCGGGCTCTGCCTCTCCAGTCCCTGTGAGTGTGGTTTGCCTCAAAGTTCCAGGCGTGATCTGCCATGCATTCCCCACCTCCCTGGGGGCATGTGGTGGCATTACCACAGCTGGTGATTGTGTGTGTGTGTGTTGGGGGGCATTATTTGCTATTTGGGGGTTTAGAAGTTTAAAGAAACCAGTTTTCTTTGTCTTCTCTTACTCTCTTCTCTCAGTCAATTTTTCATACTCTCCAATCTCTCTCTCTCTGTTGCAATCCACCACTCCTCCGTCACTCTCCTTCTCTACTTTCACCATGTATTTCCCTCTTTTTTTCTCCCTGCTCTGCCCCAGAATGGTCCTCCTGTCTCTCGTCTCCTCTGTCGCTTCCTGTTTCGTGCGCTTCGCCTGTTTACACCACTCTTCAGCAAAACACTGGAGACGCCATTACAGCCGTCCTGCCGTGAGCAAATACAGAGATACGGGGTGAATCCTCCGATTGTCACCCTGAATTCTCTCCTCTTTACGCTCAATAACAAGTCATGATTACAAAACCAGAGAAAATGGGCGTCTGGTTCTGTGGTATCTAGCGCAAATCTTTTCGGGTTTCGATGGGCGTGTAATGCAGTTCACGTCTAGCAAAAAGCTAAACGAATCCCGCGCATGTTTATCACATCTAAAACCACAAATATGATTTCCTGTCAGGTTTAATTATAGCATGCCAGCGTTCAGGCCACGAGGAAGCCACTGTGAATGTGAGCACATTACATGCCAGCAGAAAGGGTCTTTGCTTACATATGAGCGCATTCCAGATGGGGGCCGAGATGAGTTTGAGGATGTGTTTGGTTACCATATAATCCCTCTCTTTGGATGGAGTCCTGACCGGCAGGAATGGAGGACACAAAAAGTTAGTGAAAACAGGTTTATGGAATTAGCGTTATGTATTTTATGGATAATTATATCAATGTCCAACAGCTGGAACCTCATTTTCTGCAGGCTTGACTGTGTCTCCTGCAAGCCTCAGTAGCAAGTTACTATCAGGTCAAAAGGGGACACAGTGGTTAAAGAATGGATTTCATGGCCTGCGGGGGTTTTGCAAGGGCTCATGGGAATGCAGAATACCCAGGTCCTTGTAGCGACAAGCACTCAGAAATTTTGGGACCCTTGTGCTGCATGGAGGCCGGATCTATCGCTTGTTTCCTGGCCAACAGAAGACTTATGACTGTAGCCCTTGTAGGGAAGTTGCAATGTGCCAAAGAATACAGACATTCATGCAGGCATAAATTTCTCTGTCGTGGTCCATAAGCTGCCTGAAGTTGCATGGGAAGTTTGATGAGTTACTGTCTTAATCCGGAACAAAGTCCATGGTGGGGAATCAGCTGGGATTAAACTTACCGTGAAAGCTAACCACTGCAGTCACTGTTCAGAAGGTCTACGTGAACGTTGTTTGAACCAGCCGTAACACCGCGTTCCCTCAGCTTATCCGGAACATCACGGAACGGAGTTTTTCCAGCTTTCCAGGGTGTTTCAGAGGTCACCGAAAACCCAGTGGTCTGACTGCTTCCGCGTTCGGCTTTCCAAACCTCTCAGATGGGTCGTCGGAAGTCGACGTGAGTTGAACTCTGCGCTACGCTGGATGTCCGTCAACACGCCCCCCCTCGCCTATCACGGTTTGGGAAAACTTGCCTTTCCTGTCGGAAAAAGACACCCACACAGGATGCCGCTACAGAAAGGGCCAATTGACGTGGAAAGAGGCCCTGCCAATTTGGGACTTGTAGAAAGGTGTCCCAGTCTGTCACATTTCGACAAGCGCCTCCACAGGATCCACATTTTTAGAGGAAGTGTCCCAGGATAGATAGGCGACCCCCACCTGTGTCATTTCGTCCGGAAGGGTGTCCTTTGCATATTGGTTGGCAAACTGTGGTCTGCACTTCACTCTTAAGCAGTCAAGGCACTGGAAACGTCACCTACTCAGATTTATCAGACAATAAACTGTGAACGATATTTGATGTAGTCAGTTCCACAGGAGGATATGCAACATAAATTTATGGTTTGCTTAAAGAATCAACATTGTTTTGTTTTTCCACTGATGCCTGCCATTATGAGTCAGACATACTGTTAATTCCTATGTAAACAGTGTCTGTGCGTGTTAATGCATTAAACACACACGCTCACACTCTGATTAAGTATCTATATTTTTGTCAGAGCTCTCTATTAATTTCCATGGGCATAATCTTAATCCCAACAGATTTTCTCCACAAGGTAAAAATAACAGTTTGAAGACATTTGTCCCCACAATGTAATATATACATGACACACACACAGGTTTATAATTCTATCTTTGTGGGGACCATTCTGTGTCCATTCATTTCTATGGAAAAACCCCTAATCTCAACATGACAACCTTAACCCCTACCCAGCCCTAACCTTGACCATAAGTAAGCAAATAAAACGCAAGACTTTTGGCATTTTTAGTTTTTCGATTTTTTTTTTCATAAAATTAAAATAACAGGTTATTCTCACATCGTGGAGACATTTGGTGTCACAGCCTCACGGCTTCTGTCCTCCTGTCCATCCTGCTCAGGTCTTGACATCTTCCCATAGCTCTCACTGCAGACGTGCTCATCTGAAGTATGTGAAGATCTTTGGCTGCTTTTGAAATAGCTCACAGCATTATGGGGGACATGAATTATCAGATTTTTTTTCCCCAAATACGAAAGATGAAATTGTGAATTATTGGTTCCTTTAAGGTTTCCTGTGAATGTTTGAATCAATGTGTTTCACATCCGGGGGTTTACGAGTCAAAGTTTGTATTTCTTATGATTTTTCTATCCTGGTCATTTTTATTGCATTAAGTCATCAGCAGCCACAGCTAAGGTCATCTGTTATGGGCAAAATTCCGAGTTAAATCCCCCTTCTGGAAGCAGTGGTACCAGTATAATGGTTGAGCAACTGGAATTTTGGTGTGGATGCCGGGAAGAAGCCTTAGGGATGAACTTCTGACCTGGGTATTGCTTTGGTGAGCATCCAGCTGTAGATGATCTTCTGTACGTAGCTTTTGGTGACGGGTGTCATACTGTCATTTTTTCCGGGAACATTATTGCCAGGAAGTGATCCAGGGTGTTGAAGGACAGTTATGCTGAAACTGTTTGCTATCAGAAAACCTTCATCTGACCTGAATGTTTCCTGTTTCCTGTACTGTAGGAATAATCTACTTTAAAGTCCTGACATTCCCATCACAGCTGCCTATAGTGTTTTGTGCTTATTAAACACTGAAGATATACTCCTTGTTTTGTCATTAATGATTGACAGTTCCTGGGTAGTGTAATATATATATATATATAATGTCCTGTTTGTGTTTCTCAGGCAACACTGTAGGTGGCGTACTCATTAAGGGAGCCCCTTTTCAGCTAAAGAGCTGAAGCAAAAACGTGGGAGAGGGGGTGCTTTAATGGAATACTTCAGTGTGCATCCAGCACAAGCCTCCTCGATTAAGATCTTTGCTGGGTGCAGAAATAATGCAAAATCCCCCCTTGGACCAGAGGCCGTCTGCCTAGACCCGGCTCATGTCTCTGTTTGCTCTCCCCACAGTGACTGAAGCCGGTTTCGGCGCAGACATCGGGATGGAGAAATTCTTCAACATCAAATGTCGAGCATCTGGCTTGCGGCCCAACGTGGTGGTGCTGGTGGCCACCGTCCGGGCGCTGAAGATGCACGGAGGCGGGCCCAGTGTGAGTATGCTGCCCCTCGTGGCTCCGCAGAGATCGACGGGCTTCTAAAGGTGATCGTATGTGCAGTAGCATGTTGCTGGCAGACCCCCATTAACACGGTGTTAATCAGGTTTCATCGAACATGTTCATTATATATGATATATTTTTATTTATGTGAAACCAAATTTGTCTTAAGGTAAAGTCTGTCTTTAATTGCATGAAGATATTTCCCACTTAAAATAATTATTACTGTCATTGTTTAGAATGACTCGGCCCTTGTCACAATTACTACTATTAGCTGGTGGGAGGAAGAAAAGTTTCACACTTGGTTTGTTTTCATTTGGGGGGGGGGTACCGACTGGTACCGGTCCGTGGCCTGTAATTAACCAAGGCAGTTGGTTAATTTCCAGAAATAAATGATATATTTAAATGTTTTTATGACTCCTCCCATTCTCACATTCTGTTCACATCTGACAAAAATTGAAACTTTTATTTTGGATTTTGGTTGCAAAGTAAACGGGTCCACAGACATTGAGAGGTGTGGAGAGCCTAGTTAACAGAACCCCACCCTGGTCATTGATGTTCCCCCAGTACGGTGACGTGTGAGCCAGTGTGTCTGTTCTCTCTCTTTACTGGTCTGGTCACCATCAGAAGTATTCTTTGATCTAACTGGCACCTAACGTAATTGAAAGTGATGGTGTGGCCTCAATTAAATTTTAACTGATTTTAATTTGTGAATTAATTCAGTGATTAACTGACAGCTCAGATAAAGTAAAAAAAAAAAAAGATTAGATGGTGACAAAAGCTGGAGGCTTTGATTTGTTTTTACTGGGAATGTAACTGCAGTTGTATTTAGGGAGCTTTGAGTTTGTGTTATAATATACTGGCATATTATCGGATGCGTTGCATGTTGGGATGCTGTGCTTGTGATCGGAAGGTCGCCAGTTCGAATCCCTGGGTCAATAGAGTGATTTCACAGTTGGGTTCCTGAGCAAGGCCTTTAACCGTCAGGGTCTGCTTTCTCAAGAAACTATCACTTTTTTGGCTAAAGGCTGCATTGGTTCCAGACCCCTGTGACCTGATATGGGATAAACAAGTGTGGATGGGTGGAGAAATACTTATTTTACCTACCTACCTACCTACCTACCTACCTACCTACCTACCTACCTACCTACCTACCTACCTACCTACCTACCTA